TTTATTTTGGCTGTGTTGGGTCTTCGTTTCTGTGCGAGGGCTTTCTCCAGTTGCGGCAAGAGGGGGCCACTCTTCATCGCGGTGCGCGGGCCTCTCACTGTCACGGCCTCTCCCGTTGCGGAGCACAGGCCCCAGACGCGCAGGCTCAGTAGTTGTGGCTCACGGGATTAGCTGCTCCGCGGCATGTGGGATCTTCCCGGACCAGGGCTCGAACCCGTGTCCCCTGCATTGGCAGGCAGATTCCCAACCACTGCACCACCAGGGAAGCCCCGGCAGGTGGATTCTTAACCACTGTGCCACCAGGGAAGCCCAGGGACCACTCTTTTTCATGCTGCAGTTTCATATATTTTAACCAGCTTTTTAATTGTTTTAGGCAGAAGGGTAAATCTGGCCCCTGCTACTCAGTCTTGGCTGGAAGCTGTCATAATGCAGATTATTTATTTTATTTAATCCTCTCAACCACCCAGCTCCACAGGCAGGTACTATTACTAATCCCGTTTTACACTTGAGATTTTGTGACACACAGTGACAACATGCAAGGTCACAGTGACAGCAGAGGTAGGGTTCAGTCCCGGACTGTGTCAGGCGCATCCCTGAACCACTGGTGGGGAGGTCGAGGCTGTCCTGCACAGGCGCCCCGCATGGAATGTGGGGGCAGGGTGTGGACCTGCAGGTACTCCAAACACAGAGCAGACTGAAGAGGCCTGAGTCTCTGTGGGGAGGGCCCTGGCCGGCTCTGAGAGGCCTCTGTGTCCGACTCGATTTGACTGTGTCCTGACCATGAGATGGTGGGTCTCTGGCTCTGTGCGTTTGTTCTCCTCAGTTACCTGCCCAGGTGGAGACTAGTTCTGGTGGGCTGGTTACTGAGAGCCCAGAGGCAGGTGTGCTCCAGGAACAAGTGGTAACTGTCTCCCTTTCCCTTTCCCTCCTCCAGACTTCCCTCAAGGCCACATCACTGTTCCACGCCATGGCAGTGAAAGCTCGGAATCCTAACCACTAGGTCACCAAGTTTCTCAGCTACGTCTGAGAAACCTGCAGCAGCGTCACAGCTGCACCGGTCACAGCTGCGGGCCCTGTCAGCACAGCCACCGAGCTCTAGGCACCCTTTGGGACTGGGACACTTGATGAAATAAAATTTATATTTTGGGAATTCCCTGGCGGTCCAGTGGTTAGACTCGGCACTCTCACTGCTGGGGCCCGGGTTCGATCCCTGGTTGGGGAACTAAGATCCTGCAAGCCTTGCAGCACGGGCCAAAAAAAAACTTATATTTTATGGCAGGACAAGAGAAAATTAAACATAAGATTCTCTCCGTGTGTTTGTTTGCGCCTCCTCCCTTCCTGACCCGCCATGTGCATCTGCATCACGCGCGAACCGGAGCTCCTCCAAGGTGGGGCGCCTGTTCCATCGGAAAGATCAGTTTTTTTCTTCTGATGCCAGCAATGTAACTTCTTAAAGAATAGAGTCCCTGGGCTTCCCTGGTGGCTCAGTGGTTAAGAATCCACCTGCCGATGCAGGGGACACGGGTTCGAGCCCTGGTCCGGGAAGATCCCACATGCCGCGAAGCAGCTAAGCACGTGAGCCACAACTACTGAGCCTGTGCTCTAGAGCCCGCGAGCCACAACTACTGAAGCCTGTGAGCCACAACTACTGAACCTGCGCTCTAGAGCCTGCGAGCCACAACTACTGAGCCCGTGCCCCACAACTACTGAGCCTGCGCTCTAGAGCCCGCGAGCCACAACTACTGAAGCCCACGTGCCTAGAGACTGTGCTCTGCAACGAGAGAAGACACGACAATGAGAAGCCTGTGCACCGCAACGAAGAGTAGCCCCCGCTCGCGGCAACTAGAGAAAGCCCACACACGCAGCAACGAAGACCTGATGCAGCCCAAAATAAAAACAAATAAATAAATAAATTTATTAAAAAAAAAGAAAAGAAAGAAATGTATTCATCATGGACCCAGAGGCTGGTACCAGCACAGGCAGGTTCCCGTGAGGACCTCTTCCAGGCGTGAAGCCTGCCTTCCGGCTGTGTCCTCACATGGCCGACAGAGTGGGCGAAAGCTCTCCCATCTCGTCCCTCTGTAAGGGCACTAATCTCATTCCATGACCCCATCCCCTCCCAGAGGCCCCTCTTAAGGCCACCACCTTGGGGGGCAGGTTTCAACATATGAATTAGCAGGGAAGGCGGGGAGGCAGTAAGGGTTGTGGACACAAACATTTAGTCCATTGGACCTGGTCTCTGCTCTGGAAAAGTCCGACCAAAGATTGCAGACTCCAAGTGGGCAGACCGGTCAGCTCAGTCCTGGGATGTTACCCTCACCTCTTAATTCAACAAAGCAAACTCCTAGGGACACAGAGAGAAGAAAGTCCCATGCACACACAGCCAGATGGTGCCCTGTCCCACCTGGCATTTCGTCCAGAGCCGGCCTCCTGATCCAAGTAGAGGAAGAAGCTTGGCCAGGTCTTGCCTAACACTTTTCTGACCTTAGGCTGGCAGCGGAAGTCCAAGCCCAGGGCCCCACAGGCCTGGGGCCTTGAGAGGCCATGAAAAGAGAGGGCCAGGAGCTGGGGATGCTCCGGCTGGAGCTTGGCCAGCCCCCGGCCCCTGCATGTGCGTGTATGGCCCAGGCCGTGGTCAGCTCATATGTTGGGGGGTGGGCGTAGGGGCCAGGAGAGGAAAGAGTTGCCTCCCCACACCCAGAGCTGCTGAGCCCTACCCCACTGTGCTAGACAAGGCAAGGGGTGCTGGGGGGACCATGGGTGAGGGGAAGGGCGTGGCCTATGGCCCACTCGTGGGTAAGGATGGGAAGGCAGGAAGTGGGCCCCCACCTCCCCACACAGACATGGGGATTCCTTCTCTGAAGCAGGAGCCCAAAGCCACCAGATGGGTGTCAGGGTCAGGCAGTCCACCAGGAAGAGACACCTCTGAAGCAGCAGCATCCAGTTGCTTCTTGGTCACCATAGATACCAGGCTGCAAAAAGGGCTGGCATGCCCATTGAGGGCAGGTCAGTGTGGCCCTGGGGCAGGCTGGGTTCTGTGGGTCTCAGCACGGAGCATCTCCCGCACCTGTCCTTGTCTGAAGTCTGGGGCCCATGAATCCCCTACGCCATGCCCTGTCAGTTACCAGAACAGAAATGGGCCCCTGCCCTGCCCAGGAGCCACAGGGATGGGCCTTGGCTGTCCCTGCACCCCCAGCTGGAGCTCACGGGGAAGCGACTTCCAGGCAGACATCAGGCCAACCCACTCCGCTCTTCACAGCTTCAACGGCTGTTTCCGGGTCCCGCCCCGCCTGACCTCTTCCACAACCCCATCAAGTGGGCACGTGGTGGTGGCCCTGGGTGGCGGTGGGCACATTAGTTGTTTATTGCTATTGTTATTTATATTTATTTTAATTTTACATAAAACATCATTGTTATTTATAGCTGCATGACAAATTAACCTACAATTCAGCAGTTTAAATCAACAGACGTTTATTATGTCGCACAGTTTCTGAGGGATAGGAGTCAAGTAGCTGCTCAGCTGGGTGATTCTGGCTCTCAGTCTCTCAGCGTTGCCCGTGAGATGCCGGCAGTGACTGGGGTCTCATCTGAAGGCTCGACAGGGCTGGAGGATCTGCTTCTAAACACCACACTCTGTTGGCCTCTCCATAGCAAAGAACAGCTGGCCTCTCTCAGAGTGGAGAATATGAGACAAAGAGGTAGGCCAGGATGCCCCTGCAACCTCGTCTTCTACAGGACCTTACTGGTCACGCAGGTCAACCTCAGTACATTTACAAGGCTGAATACCAGGTGGGGGCTCTTGGGGGCCTCCTTCCTTGCCCAAGGGTGCATCCTAAGATGGGTATGCCCCCCAGGGCTCCATGGAGCAGAGAGGAGCCAGGCACATCTGCAGGACCTTCTGGGCTCAGCTTCTTCCTCGGGAAAAGGGAGCAGGCCCTGGAGCCAGGGCATGCCAGTGCATGCCAGGGGAGAGGAAGAGGCTGCTGGGGCCTAGAGACACTCGGGCAACCGCAGGAGTTCTGGTGGGGGTGCTAATGCCTCACCTCTCACAAGCCAGGGCTCCAAGCAGCCCCAGGCCCTGCCCCACCCCAAATTCCCAAGTGACTGGAGTTTCATAGGCCTGGCCAGGAGGACTTCTGTCACCATGAGGACTAATTCTTTCTCCATATTTCAAACACCTATGACTTGCTGTCATTGTCTGGTCCCCAAGCCCTGACCCCACAGGCGAGACAGAGGGGCCCAGCGTCACAGGGCTCCACAGGGCTGAGACACCCACAGAGGCAGGCAGATCACCTGACCTTGCACATGAATTCAGCAAACATTTATTGACCCTTGGTCCCTGCCAGGGTCCAATTGGGCTGGAAGGAGGCCACAGATGAATGAGGCTCCACCTGCCAGTGGAGGAGAAATGATCAGCAGGCCTTCTGGCCACACCCTCCCCCCAGGAGGAGGCAGTTCTGATTCCTCCCACACACCCCCAACACAGCCACCCGAGAAGATGCTTCCTCTATTATTCTGCAGGAAAGGCCTGCAAGACAAAAGCCAAGCCAAAGGGATGGAGGGGGACAGAGGAAATTACCCAGAGCCCCTCTGAGGCATGGGAGGGGGCAGGAAACGGGCAGAGAAGGGGGGAGGGTGGCAGTAGGAAGAGCCCCTGGTGTGACGGGGAGACCCCCCCCAACCCAGCTCTCCACGGATGGCGCAGGTGTCCAGGCTGAGTGGGGAGAGAGGTGTGGCCTCCTCCCACAGACAAGGATACTGCGGAGGGGTGGCCTGGGGAGGGGCCCAGCCTCAGCCCCCGGTGTGCTCCCTCACACCCCCCTAATCTAACCAAGGGCGACACCCTCGGCAAACCTCCTGGCTCCTCCTTCATCCAAGCTAATTAACGAGGTCTGTATGGCCTGAGCCCGACCTGAGCGTCTTCCTGTTCCAGGCAGGTGCTGGGGACAGGAGTGAGTGACAGAGACACGCCCTGGCCTCCAGAGCCCTCGGAGCCTGGGGTGGCTGCCTCAGGTGGGAAAGTGGGGAGAGAATGGGGCGGGGGGGGGTGAGTACAAAGGGATAGAGACGGGAGGAGCTTGCTTGTCTGAGGAACAGTGTGGTTCCCTCTGAGCCTGAGAGGTCCCTGGAGGGCTAACAGGGTGCTCGGCGCAAAGATCCCTTTGGCAATAGCGTCTTGAGAACAGATGGCCGGGGACAGGAAGTAAGGAAGTAAGGGAGGGGGCAAGGCCCTGGAACGGAGGTGGGGGGGTCTGGTCTGGCGCTGTCGCCACCCTCTCCCTGGAGAAGGGAGAGTGTGATGACCCAAGTTCCAGGTGACCTTCCCAGGCAGCCCTTCTCTCTCTGGCCACCAGGTGGGGTGCTCCCCCTACCCACGGACCCACCCACCCAGCTTCATATCCCAAAGCACCCCCCCCAACCCCTCCTGCACTGAGACCCTCCCTGAGCGGTTCCCCTCCCCCAGCCAAGCTGAACTTCTGGCTTCTGAAATGGACCCTCTACAATTCTCCTGCTGGGAGGGCCTCCCAGGCTGGTCAGGAGCAACTCCCCCACAGTCCTGCCGGAGCCCCGGCTCTCCCAGCCTCCCCAGGGCCTGTGTGCAGAGGGTGCGGCACCCGGCCTGCATGGCTGCAACTGTCCAGGACCACTGGCCTGGGCCCTGGACACTCAGGAAGATGGGCCAGGCAGCTAGAGGCCGGGGAGGAACTGGCTTGGTGGGACGTGGCAGGCCCTGCCGGGTGTGCACAGCTGAGTCCAGGAGGGCAGGTGAACCCTGCGCATGACACGGGCACGGGAGCTGATGGGGCCACTGGAGGAGGGGCGGGCCAGCCCCGGCAGTGATTCACCCTCCTCCTCCGCGATGGTCCCTGGCCAGGCAGGCGGCCGGCAACCATCAGGTGAACTTGGCTGTGGTTGGGAAACAGATCTTGCCTCAGCCTCAGCAGGGCTCAGGATGAGACACTGCAGTCCCAGCTGCGTGCCTTGGACCACGCCCTCACCGCACCTGGAGCACAGCCCCCAGCAGCAGCCTGGGGAGGCCTGGGACCACAGGACAGCGACTCCCGGGGTGGCGGGTGGGGGGCCATGCCCAACGCTGCCTAGGATCGCTGTATTGTAGGGTGAACAAACAGCCGGTGCTCAGGACGGACGCGTAGGCCGGACCAATGCCAGTTCCTTTGTACTGAAGGGGGACCTCCCCTCTCAGGGCAGGATGGGGCACACAGCAGGGCTGGACTCTGGCAGGAGAAGCGCCCCAGCACTAAGTACCCTTTGTCGGGCTGGCCCCCGTTCCCTGCCCCTGGGACTCAGATGCCCTCTCCTGCTGGCAGCCCTCTCCTGGGCAGACACTGGCCTGGGGCAGGCTCAACGCATGGGTGGGCACAGGCAGCTTTGTGCTTGGCCACAAGAAGGCAGGACGTGGAACAGGCCAGAACCGAAGCTTCAGGGACAGTCAGCCCTCACCACAGCTCAGCACCAAGACAACAGTGTGAAAATACGTGTCTCCACCTTCCAGGGTCCTCACGAGTGAGAGCGGGAAACAACATGCCCAGTGATGCTGCGGGACCGCTTCCCAGCACGGGGAGACATTCTGGAAAAAGTGATGACTGGCCCCGTCCTGCCTGAGCCTCCCGAGGGACCTCTCACACACCCTCCCCCCCCCCCCACTCCAAGGCGGGTCGCGGCTCCAGCGCAGTTAGATACAGGCAAACGCAAGGCCGGCCGAACCTCCGCGCCGGGCACCTGCGGGCCCAGGTGGGAGCAGAACCCCCGCGGCCCGCCCTGCCCGCTCGCGCGAAGACACCCGCCGACCCCGCTGCCGGGCCTCTGCCGGACTGGACCCTTCACGAAGACGACAAAACAAAGCTCCCGACGCGGTCTCTGGAAATAAATATTTTCTGGCACAGTCTCAGCGGGTTCTGGGGCCGCGACCTCACCGCAGCCACGGCCTCCAGGGTGCACCCCGGCCCTGAGCCGCGGCCCCGGGGGCGGCGAGGGGCTCCCCCGTCCGGCCTGGCAGGAAGGGCGGCGCCAAGACCGCCCCGGAGCGCGGCAAGGGGCAGGGGCCGTCGAAGGCTGGCGGCGGCGAGCGGCCCGCGTAAACCGCGGGCGCCAGAACTTCGGCAGCGGGGGCCGGTGGAAGCGGGCGGCGCAAGGGCCCCAGCCGGGCCAGGCAGGTCGCCAGATGGCCGAGCAGGCGGGACCGCACGTCGGCCGGGACGCCCTCGCAGCCAGCCAGGAAGCGATTCACCTCGGCCAGACACTCGTGAAAGCCGGCGCGGTACTTGCCCAGGACTGCCGGGTCGGCGCGGAGGGCGGCTGCGGACAGGCGGCAGGGGACAGGCGGTCGGGGCCCGCGGTGGCGGCGGCTCCGGCCCCAGAGCCCTCGCCGCCGCCGCCCGCGCTCACCTGTCACCTGCACGCGCCGCAGGCTCTGCAGGTGCTTCACGGTCAGCTCCAGGATGTCCGCCTTCTCCAGCTTCGAGCGGCGGGAGCTCTGGGGGCGGGGCCGGTGTGAGCGGCTGGCAGCCCAGGAGCGCCGGGATTCCAGGCTCCCCGATCTCGCCCTCCCGCCCCCCGACTCACCTCTTTCCTGAGGGCGTCCAGGAGGAGGCTCTGGAGCTGAGCGAGGCTCTCGTTGATGCGCGCTCGGCGCCGCTTCTCCATGACGGGCTTGGAGGACTGCAGGGCCGGCAGCGGCTGAGTCCCCCGGGCGTCAGCTCCCCTCTCCCCCCCGCTCCAGCCAACCGCGTCCGGCCGGGTCCCCACCTTCCGGTGCTCGGCCGCGCTCCGGGGCTGGTCCGGGGTCCGGCGGGCACCGGCCGGCGCTCCCGCCCGCGGCGAGGCCCTCAGCTTCCCCGGGGTGTCGGCAGGCATGGTGCGCCCCCGCGCAGCGCGGGGCCGAGGGCGGGCCGGACGCACGGCTTCCCGAGCCCCTCTCCCGCGGGTTCCAGGCTCCGGGACCGAGCGCGCGCAGCCAGCCGCCTGGCTATTTAAGGAAGCGCCGCCGCGGGGCGTGTGAATCCGGCTCCGCGTTCTTTCCCACACTCGCGCCAGCCAATGAGCCGCCGGCTCCGGGCAGCCCGCTCCCGGCCGCAGCCCCCGCTGGCTGTCAGTCACGCGGCCGCTCCCGGCCCACCGACCCCGCGGGCGACAAAGGCGAGCCGGGGCACCCCGCCCGCGCCCGCGTCTGGCGGCGCCGGGCCGAGGCGGGGAAGTCGCCGCGCCCGCTCCGCCGTTCCGAGCGGTGCGCCGGGAGGGGACCTCTCCGGGAAGGCGGAGGCGCGAGGCTCACCTTCCGGGCGAGCTGGGGCCGCGGGAAATCTGAAAGGAAAACTCGCGAGGGGAACCGGGTGAGGCGCCCCCGAGGAGCCGGCGAGCCTCGGCCCGCGCGCCTCTGCTCTCCGCGGACCCAGCCGGGCCCTCGGGCCTCCGCGCGGCCTGCGAATCTGACCCCCGCCGGCTGCAGCACCTGCACGAGGCCCGTGACACAGTGGACGTGGAACACCAGCCGCTGGGCAGGAGAGAGGCTGGCCGGCCAAGGTCGTAGACAGGCAGAGTGGCATCACGGGACCAGTGAAGGTGATGCCACAAGGCGGGCGGTGTGACGTCATCAGTCAGGCAGGATGACGTCATGGAACAGAATGTAAGGCTGTCACTGGTCAGGCTGGTGACGTCTCAGGGTTAAGGTCGATGATGACACAAGCCAGATGGGGTGATGTCATGGTCGCTGGTGATGTCAGTCTCTTCCAGATTACCCAACAGTGAGCCAAGCACCAGCAAAGTAGGGCTCACAAAAAATGAGGGACACTTGTTAAAATTTTGTTTTTTAGTTCAAAGTGGCGTTGTGGGGAAAAAAGAGGGCTAAGCTTATTTTCGCGTTTGATGTTTTCATTCTGAATTCCCTTGCGCCAGCACTCTGGTCTTCTGAGTACTGAGGGTTCCAGCCCACTGTGGCCTGGCGGCCGTCTTGTCGGCATCGCACAGATGTCTCCTGAGGCCCACGGTAGACCCGGCCTGCCCTTGGGGCTGAGGAAGCGTCTCGCGGGTTCTAATCCGACGCGGGGGGCGACGGCAAACAAAGTTATGTCACAGTTGCCAGAGACAGAAAGAAATGGGTAGGTTGCTGGGGGAGAGGAAACCCCTCTTTCGACTGGGTGGTTCGGACGGCTTCTTTGCGGTGGGTTCCAGGAAAGAAGGCAGATCTGCAAGGCCCGGAGAGGAAGTGGCATGCCCAGGGTGGAAAGGGACCACAGGCCCGAGGGAGGAGGGGCAGGGGCAGGTGGGCGCGGGGCCTGGGAGAGTCGTGCTGGGCTTTTCGGAGCAGCGGAGTGGGCCGACTGGCAGCTCGGAAGGGTCACCTCGGTCCTAGGCGTACCTAGTGGGTGGGGTCGCCGGCTGGCCCCTTACCCATCACCAGTTCCCGGGGTCCCAGCCCGGGGTCACGGTGTAGACGCCTTTTCTCCTTTCTGAGGCCAACCTAGTCTGGCCCCAGCCTCGCCCTCTGGAACCCCCCAACCCCACCCCCGGCGCGAAACCGACCTCTCAGCGGTGTGCGGGGGCGCCCGGGGCGGGGCGGGAGGCGGCTACACTGGGTGTGTCTGTGGGCTGTCGCCCCCGAGGCCAGGCCCCAGAGGCGCAGCCCCGGAGGAGTGGAGGAGCGTGCGGGGCGGGGAGCGTTGGGAAGCCGCGGGCGTCGGGCAGGAGCGGGCGGTGGGGACCCACCCAGAGCACAAAGCCCTGGGAGCGCTGACTGCCCCGGCGCCGGGGTGGCTGGGACCAGCCCTGAGGTGGATGAGGCCGCGGGGGTCGCGGAGTCCCCACCCCGCCCTCACCCCCGCCGGCGGGCTGCGCGCAGGAGAGAAAGCCCGCGAGTGCCCCGCTGGGAAGCGTCGGCGGAACCCCAGGCCGGCAGGCGGGGCGCTGGGACCCGGTCTGGGTGGGCTCAGCCCCCCACCCCCAGGAGACCACACAGGCAGGGGGTTCAGACCGCAAGGAGAGGCTCGAGGAGCCATGTTTGACCATTCTTTACCTGCTAGTGGTTAGACGGGTTCGCTTACCCTCCGGTACCTGTTTCCTCACTTGTAAAATGGGCTATCTTTTCATTTATCCCTGGGTTGTTGGGAAGATAAATGAGCTCCTATTCTGAAAACACGCAGCACATGTCAGCTTCAGTTGTTACTGCCTGGGGGAAGGAAGCAGACGCAGGCAGGGAGGAGCCACCTGGACTCACCTCGGCCATGTGCCCCTCTGCACCCTCTGCCCTCTGAGACGCCCCCTCCCCACCCAGGGTCTCCAGGGGCCTGTGTCTTGGCCTCCCAGCCCCAGCCCCAACAAGGAGACTTCACTAGCCCAGAACAAAGTGAGTTTCCCTGGGGTTGTCACCCACACCGTCTGTGTGGTCATGTCTCTGGGCCCTCCTACCTCTGGCCGTCCCCCCACCCCGCCTTTTACATCTGGGCTTGATCTCTGGTAGGGCCACCGGGTCTCCTGGGGGTCGTAGGGGCTCCCTTGCTCTGAGCAAGGAGGGAGAGTCCTGGGCTGCAGTTGGGAAATAGTGCTGAGGAACACTGTGGAATGTTGCATTTTCCAAAGATGGCTACAACAACATCTCCCACTCCAAATACCCTTATGGTGCACCTTGGCGAGATTTTGTGATGACATCGACCAGCAAAGACAGGGGCAGGGGTGAGATGTGAATTCTGAGGCTGGACCTTAAAAATGCCACACACGTTCACCTTGCTGTCTTGGGAAACCCGCTCTTGGAACCCGTTTGCCCCTCTGTGAGGAAGCCCAAACTGGCCCCATGGAGAGGTCCCAAGGGGAGGCCACTGAGCCAGGAGCCCAGAAATCTCAGCTGCTGGACAGGTGATCCCAACCTGCTGCTTCAGAGCCCCCACCTCATGCCTTCCCAGCTGCTTCTGGGTGCTTTGTTCCAATTCTTGATTCACAGAATAGGACAGTTGTTACTGTGACCTTTGGGGGTCATTTGTTACACAACAGTAGTAACTGGAATAACTAAGATGGCCCAAACCCTGGATCTGGTCCTCCGCCCCTCCCCCTCCCCCCCCCCACTCCCACCCCACTCCCCATCTTGTTCCTTCCTTTCTCCGGCAGGAAGAGAGGCGCCGGAGCCTGCAGCCCTGGCTGTCGAGCTGACGATTTGAGTTGATTTTTGCAAGCCATCAAAGGCCAACTATTTGTCTTCCTAGATCCAGGCTTGAGTGGGCCAAGCCCCCGTTGGCTGGTGGTCCCAGGGGCATCTCCAGGGCCCACTGGTGGCCACCGGGTTTGGGGAGCAGGGGGCTGAGGCAGGAAAGTCAGTGGGGGAGTCTGTGTGGAAAGACGGGTGTATTTCCCAGGCCAGACACTGGGCTCCAGCCTTGGGTTGCGGGGGGAGGGATGGTCCTCTGCCTACCGTGACAGCGTTCCACACAACATCATTCAGACAGTGTCCCTTGGGGGTCTGCCACGTGCGATCTGTGAACACGTCCCTCCCAACCTCCAACATGGGGGTGGCACCTGCATTCCCACTCTGCCCCTCAGCATTCCACAGGCATATGAGCCCCAGAACATCAGAGACATCACAGACCACCCCCTCCGGCACCCCTTACCCTCCTGTTCCTTCCTCTTCTGCCAAGAGGCAACGGCCTGTGGACTCAGGCAGCCAGGACCAGAGTTGCCAAGTAACCAGGCTAGAACTGTTGCAGGTCCTCTCCTGCAGCACGGGAGTTGGTCGCTGGGACGATAAAGTGGCAGAGGCCAGGGCTGGAGGAATCCAGCCTTCAGGCTAGAAATGAGGGAAGCAGATAGCCAGGACCCAGGCAGAAGCCAGGAGCACCAGGATGCCGACAACGAGGCTTGAGGTTCAAGGGCAGTCCCCACCCCTGTGACTGAGGGGGCGTCTTCCACCCTTACAGGTCATGAGACCAACGTACCTTCCCTCGGCCACCTGATGCCAGGTAGTGGGAGCATCCTCCCAACACCCGATGCATGACGGTACCTTCCCCGTGATCTGGGCGCTGTCAACATCTTTCTCCTGAATTGCGCGTTGACACCTCTCCACATTTGGGGAGCCATGTCCCCCAACTTCTGGGTGGTGACAGAATCTCCTTCCAACCCCTATCTGCCTGGCACGCTGCCTCCCTGTGGGCCCCCGTGGGTGCTGCTTTTCTCTCCACTCTCCTTGGGCCGGCGCTCCTGGGGAGAGGTAAGCTTCCCTGTCCTTCCTGCTTGGCGCGTCCAGACCGGTGTCTTCTTCACCAAAAAAGCCCTAGCTTTGAAACCTCACCTTATTAACAGACCACCGCTTTCTTACCAGACCACACAGACTACAGTCGACCGAAACCTTCCTGAAGGGTTTACTCCTGGTTCCCTGTCACCTTCTCCAGACACTCCTGTCACAGTTTCTGGTGATTTCAAAATCCACACGGATGAGCCTCCAACTTTCTGGACTTCCTCGCCTCCACGGGGTGTCCTGGTGTAGCGTCAATAACTAAGCTCCGGATCCCAGGTGCTGGGTGTTGACTGTAGCTCTCAGTTTCCCACCCACCCTGGAGGCCCCACCCACCGGAAGCCCCGCCCACAGGGGCCAGGTCCGGGCTGGAGCCTGAGGCGGAAGGTCCAGCGCCCTTCGGCTGCTGTTCCAACAGCGTCGCCTGGGGTCCTGCCTCCTCCCTCCACATCCCCAGCCCTTTCTCTCAGGTCCTGTCTCCCGCCCCCCGTGACTCAGCAGGGCCCCAGCTTCTCCTCGTGCCTTTCAGTTCTCTGGTACTTGGGGAGCAAGTCTTCACACTAACTCTTCTGTCCAGACAGCTGGAGAGGTCTCTGCCTGGTGAGGGAGCCTGAGTGAGGCTCCAGCCTCCTCTGCATCTGACCCTCTCAGAGTTCTCAGACCAACATTCTGCCATCATCCTGACGCTTGGAGTCCACTCGCAATGCTTCCCCATCAGGTCCTCCAGCAGCTCTGTCTCCCTGATGTATCCAAACGCCCACTTCTGACCTCTTGCGCTCTCACCACCGGCTGCAAGCCTCCACCACCTTCGGCCTGGATTTTTGCAGAAGCTCTTTGCCATGGCAAGGAGGCCAGTGTTGGAGCCAAGCACTTGGTGGGGGAGGCGGGCAGGAGAGGAGATGAGAGGGCCAGCAGAGTGGCCAGACGAAGCCTAAGCTCCGAAGCCTAAGCATATACGTCCCAGAAGCACGACCACTGGGATGTATACGCAGTAGCCTGGGCGAGAGGTGACTGTGCCCTGGACCAGGGTGCACAGGTGTACGTGGTGAGGACTGCGAACTTCTTGGGAGGGTTTTTTGCTGTTACTGCTGCTGTTAGATCATTGAAGGGCTTAAAAATAAAAGCAAGTGTGTTAAACATGATATAGATACTGTCTTAAAGGTTTAAGGAAGTTTAAGGTAGTTTGTAAATGAAACCAAATATTAACCAAAGACCCCTTTATAAGTGGCTGTTGTAATTTCATAAATAGGATATTCAGGCAGGTTTGTGACTAGAATTTATATATTCTGTGGTCATGTTATTAGGTGCATACAAATTTAAAATCTTTTTTTTTTTTTTTTTTTTTACCAATGAACTCAACCTTATATTGCTATGCAACCTTCTGTATCTAATAATGCTTTGTAAGTGTAAGGCCAACTGGCCCGAGGCAGGGGAACGCAATCAGACTCACAGGTTGCATCAGACCGAAACTTTCCAGACCACCCAGTTCCAGAAACTGACCTGGAGACTTTCCGGACCACCCAGTTCCAGGAACTGACCTGGGGATTTTCCACCCGGCCCAGCCTTCCCGCCTTTCGAGGGGCGGGACTAACGGTCCCCCAGGATACCCGAAAAGACCACCAGACAAGGAATACCCTGCGCCCTCCCGGATTCACCACACCCCTTTCCCTTCTTCCCCTATAAATTCTGCCCAAACCCTCGCCCGCGCGCGACTTCCCTGGCCCCTTTCTCTCGGACCAGTGAACCTCGCCCAATACAGCTTGCTTCAGCTCTCCTCCGTTTCTTGGTGCCGCTCCTTACAATAAGATTTCTTTGTTAATCTGTTAATAAAATCGTTAATGTAGCCACATTGGCTTCCTTTTAGTTAACATTTACCTGGTAGGTTTATTTTCATCCTTTTACTTTCAGTTTCCCATATCCTTATATTTCAGATGATCCGTGTCTTCTGTAAGCCACATAAAATCAGATTATTTTTAACCAGGCTGACAACCCTGGTCATTTAGTCCCCCTGGATTTCAGACCTCTGCTCTGTAGAACTGTGAGGGAATACATTTCTGTTGTTTTAAGCCACCAGTTTGTGGTGACTTAAAAGCCACCAAGACAGGGAGACACGTGCTTCCAGGTGCTATCACTTTGTCTGCCTAAAGCCTTTGTGTTTAGTTCCTCTTGTCAAAAACAGGTGACAGGGCTTCCCTGGTGGCGCAGTGGTTGAGAGTCCGCCTGCAATGCAGGGGACACGGGTTCGTGCCCCGGTCCGGGAACATCCCACGTGCTGTGGAGTGGCTGGGCCCCTGAGCCATGGCCCCCTGAGCCATGGCCGCTGAGCCTGCGCGTCCGGAGCCTGTGCTCCGCAACAGGAGCGGCCACAGCAGTGAGAGGCCCGCGTACAGCAAAAAAAAAAAAAAAAAAAAAAAGCAGGTGACATTCAATGAAGTAACTAAAAGAAAATACTCTATTACTGTATGTCAGTATTAAGAAATTAGGAGACATATGCCATGTTTTTTTCTCTTTTTAAATTTTTAAAATTTTTTAATTTCTTTTTAAAAATTTTAAATTGTTGTATCTTTGCCATGTTTAATAATGGTCATCTGGGGACTTCCCTGGCGGTCCAGTGGTTAAGACTCCTAGCTCCCAATGCAGGGGACATGGGTTCAATCCCTGGTCAGGAAACTAAGATCCTGTATGCCGCACCGCATGGCCAAAAACAAAAACAAAATAATGGTCATCTGAAGGAGATTGAGAGATTTTCACATTCTATATTCTTTGTTATGTTTCTGGTTTTCTTTTTATAATACTAATATTATTTATGCAAGGAATGTGTCGAGATAGAAACTTAAAATAATATAAAGAAACAAGTTTTTAAACTGTTTTGTGCATGTTAACAACTTTGGTGCCATTTGAGATTATTTTGTGGGAGGGGAGGTGGAGTGATTAATTCATATGCAGAACAATTTGTTTTTTTCCAGTCTTTTACTTATTTATTTAAATTTTTATTTGATTTTTTTTTTTTTTTTTTTTTTGCGGTACGCGGGCCTCTCACTGTTGTGGCCTCTCCCGTTGCGGAGCACAGGCTCCGGACGCGCAGGCTCAGCGGCCATGGCTCAGGGGGCCATGGCTCAGGGGCCCAGCCGCTCTGCGGCATGTGGGATCCTCCCGGACCGGGGCACGAACCCCTGTCCCCTGCATCGGCAGGCGAACTCTCAACCACTGCGCCACCAGGGAAGCCCTATTTATTTGAGTTTTCATGTATTTTAAAGTATTTTTAAGTATTTATTTTTATTTTATTTATTTATTTACTTATTTATTTTTGCTGTGCCATGCAGCATGTGAGATCTTAATTCCCTGACCAGGGACTGAACCCATGCCCCCTGCAGTGGAAGCCTGAGTTACTAACCAGTGGACCACCAGGGAATTCCCTAAGTATTTATTTTTACTTTTAGCTAACGTATGCCTGTGATGTGCTGTTTGTGATAGTAAAAACTTGAGAATAACCTACATATTCAACAATATGGGACTGGTTAACTAAATTACACTGTATTCTATAATGGACTCATTATACTATGGGCAACATATAAGGCCATGAAAACAACTTGCATAAAAGTATCTATTCATATGGGAAAATGTTTGTGAGATACTTGTGAATGAAGCACTTTAGAAAATGGTGAGAGTAGCATGAGGGTTTCTTTTTTTTCAGTTTTCTTTTTTATTGAGGTGAAGTTCATGTAACATAAACTTAACCATTTTAAGGTATATAATTCAATGGCATTTAGTATATTTAGTACAACCATCACCTCTATCTAGTTCCAAAACATTTTATCATTCCCAAAGGAGGCCTTGTCTCCATGAAGCAGTCACTCCCCATGCCCCCTGGCCCCCAGCCCCTGGCAATCACTTTTTTTTTTTTTTTTTTTTTTGCGTTACGCGGACCTCTCACTGTTGTGGCCTCTCCTGTTGGGGAGCACAGGCTCCGGACGCGCAGGGTCAGCGGCCATGGCTCAACGGCCCAGCCGCTCCGCGGCACGTGGGATCTTCCCGGACCGGGACACGAACCCGTGTCCCCTGCATCGGCAGGCGGACTCTCAACCACTGCGCCACCAGGGAAGCCCTAATTATTTTTTTCTTTAGCTTTTTTTTGGCTGCGTTGGGTCGTTGTTGCTGCGCGCAGGCTTCCTCTCTAGTTGCGGCGAGCGGGGGCTACTCTTTGTTGCGGTGTGCGGGCTTCTCATTGTGGTGGCTTCTCTTGTTGCGGAGCACTGGCTCTAGGCACGTGGGCTCAGTAGTTGTGGCACACGGGCTTAGTTGCCCCTCGGCATGTGGGGTCTTCCCCGGAACAGGGCTCAAACCCATGTCCCCCGCATTGGCAGGTGGATTCTTAACCACTGCACCACCAGGGAAGTCCCTTGTGGAGATTTCGTATCAGTAGAATCACACAATATGTGACTTTTTGTGTCTGGCTTCTTTCACTGAGCATCATGTTTTCAAGGTTCATTCACATTGTAGCCTGCGTCAGTGCTTCATTCCTTTTTATGGCTAACATTCCATTACAAGGATGGACCACACTTTGTCTATGCATCCACCTGCTGATGGGTTTGTTTGCTCCCCCAGTTTCTACCATTCATCTCCTGTGAATAGAGCTACTGTTAACATTTGTGTGCAAACATTTCTCTGAACACCTGTTTGGAGTTCTCTTGGGCATATCCCTAGGAGTGGAATTGCTGGGTCACATGAAAATTCTGTTTAACCTTTTGAGGAATTACTAGACTGTTTTCCACAGTGACTGCACCATTTCACATTCCCATCAGCAGTGTATGAGGGTTCCATTTTTTCTACATCTTCACCAACACTTGTTATTATTCCCTTTTTAATTATTATAGTTGTGCTAACAGGTGTGACATAGTATCTCGCTGTGGGTTTTTTTTTTTTAATAAATTTATTTATTTATCTTTGGCTGTGTTGGGTCTTGGTTGCTGTGCGCGGGCTTTCTCTAGTTGCGGCGAGCACGGGCTACTCTTCCATGCGGTGAGGGGGCTTCTATTGCGGTGGCTTCTCTTGTTGCGGAGCACGGGATCTAGGCGCACAGGCTTCAGTAGTTGTGGCACGCGGGCTCAGCAGTTGTGGCTCACGGGCTCTAGAGCGCAGGCTCAGTAGTTGTGGCACACGGGCTTAGTTGCTCCGCGGCATGTGGGGTCTTCCCGGACCAGGGCTTGAACCCGTGTCCCCTGCATTGGCAGGCGGATTCTTAACCACCGCACCACCAGGGAAGTCCCTCACTGTGGTTTTGATGTGCATTTCCCTAGTGACCAATGATGTTGACCATCTTTTCATGTGGTTGTTGGCCATTTATATATTTTCTATTTTAAAATGTCTATTTAAGTCTTTTGCCCAACTTTTAACTGTGTTGTTTATCTTTTTGTTGTTGAGCTGTAAAAGTTCCTTATATATTATGGATACTAGACCCTTATCGGACATGTGATTTGCAAATATTTTCTACCATTTTGTGTATAGTTTTTCTTTTCACTTTGTCAATAGTGTCCAGGAGTTCATTTTTGTAGAAAATAAGATACATATCTTTCATTGAAACAATCAGAACAGGGACTTCCGTGGTGGTGCAGTGGTTAAGAATCCGCCTGCCAATGCAGGGGACGCGGGTTCAAACCCTGGTCCGGGAAGATCCCACGTGCCGCGGAGCAACTAAGCCTGCATGCCGCAACTACTGAAGCCCGCACGCCTAGAGCTCGTGCTCCGCAACAAGAGAAGCCACTGCAATGAGAAGCCTACGCACAGCAACAAAGAGTAGCCCCCCCACACACTGCAACTAGAGAAAGCCCGTGCACAACGACGAAGACCCAAGCAGCCATTAATTAATTGATTGATTGATTAATTAATTTAAAAAAAAATCTGAAGAAATATTGTCATAAACAAATGGAGGTTATCTCTGGGTAGTTTAGATTGTCACTATTTTATGTTATTTCTGAATTAACCCTGGCAATGATTTCCGAGTTTACTAATTTTGCAGATTGGTAAATGGAAAGTGAAAGTTTCCAATTGTTAGCTCATGTTATGATGTGTGTGCGTCTTGCAAAGGACCCAAGGTGTTGGACATGCAGGGGGTTTCTGAAGACACACCCCTGGAGGCGGGGATGCTGTCACAGTCCCCAGGCCCCGCTGGCCAGGTGGAAAGCCCCAGCCCACCCCTACCTCGGTTTCTTGTCATTGTCATTCTGTTTTGTTTCTGCTATTCACTCCAGGGCCCGCCTTGGGAAAAGGAAACCGAAACTGAAGCTGAATTCGGCTACTGTGTGGCTGGCTCCCCGACACCGCCCTC